TAATTGATAGTGATCGATTGCATTTTGTAAAATCATTGATGGAATTATCAAATTTGGTTTACGAACAATGATTATTTCAATTGAAAGTTCATTTCCATTTTTATCAAAAAATTATTAATGATATTGAAGTTGAGATATTTTTATTTGATTGAGATTTTGAATTATGATGTGAAGCTAATGGTTTCATTATTGACTTTGAATTATTCAAATAAGAAAAGACAAAAACATCAAATAAATGTGAATTGAAATTATTTCGATTTGATTTAAAATTTTATGAAATATTTAGTAGTGCATTTTCAATTGGTGTTATTTATTTATTTGAAAGTGATTCAATTGATCGTATTTCTAGTGATACAAATACTTCAGATGTATTCATAATTAAAACTTGGCAAATGTTTAAATGAATGAAGTTAATAATTAAAATAATTTCATTTAATTGAGTTATGATTTTTGTTTGCTATTTGTTCTTGATAATAATTATTTTATTCTTTTTCAATTGTCTACCATGAAAATCATTATCATTAGCATCAGCATATAATTAATTATATAAATATAGATATACCATTATTCATTCATTCAATGAATGTTAATTTTACTTGGATTTGACCATTCGATATAATCCGAAAGATGGTATTAGTCTACAAACCAGAAGTTAGGCCCTGATCACACCAAAAATTGAAGAATATTAATTTCATTTTAAGTCAATGCTCGTTCACACCAAGCAAATAAATCGCCAATGAAAATGAAGGATGCGCCTCTTTGATGTAGACCATCTGCATAGAAATAATTTTAAATGCACTTAGAGATGTCGGTATCGTATGCATACGATTTACATAAAGTTTTGTTAAATTCGTTGTTACACTTAAAAAATTTATTTAATTTAATCCTATTAATGAAAAATCTTATGATTTGAATAAGGGTTATCCTATATTTAGCGACTTGAAATATAAAAAGTCCTTTTAATATGCTTGAAACAGAAACAAACTATTTAAAAGTAAACAATAGTTGTAAGAATAATTTATTATGATAGAAAACAAAAGAAAAATCATAACAATTAATTTATATTCTTGAGAATATTAAATCCACAAAACGTACATTGAAATAAGGAAAAAAAGAAGAATAAATAATAATCAAGCAGATTAATAAGAGAAAAAAACATGTGTACAACAATAACAAAAAAAAAGAATAACATTTGAACTTTTAATAACTATTAATAATAATAAGAAATATATAAACTGTATCACAAAAAAAAACAAAAACCCTTACAATGGATTTTTTATAAAATAATCAG